TCAGTCTAAAAGGATGCATTAAAGTGGACATTTGCCATGAAGCTTGGTTGTATCTTAATTAATTTGCCTCCGAATCCTCCTTCCTGTCACGACCACTAAGGAGAAGATGCTCTCTTACAGCACGTGCCACAGCCTCCACACACGGCTGCAGCCCCTGCTTCTGATTCAGGAGATCTAGAAGATTCCCGGGGGCGGCCTCAGTGCAGGCAGAGGTGACACGGAAGTCTCCATCCCAGCGCCACTCGGCTGGGCCACGAGAGAAGGCTGTGTGGACAGAGAGGTGTCACCGGGGGAGACAGGTGGCTGAGGCAGTGGCTAGAGAAACTGCCTGAATTTCTATTTCTCAAAACGCAAACTCAGGACCGGGCGGCAGCATCTGGGACCCCAGGAGATGTGAAGTGAGGGTCTCCTTACTTTTCTACTTGAGGTTTTCTTTTTAAAAAGCTGCTAGAGAACAGTATAGACACAGCGAAGACAGAAAGAAGTGGCCTAACTAAGGCCTGGGGCAGGAGAAGGGTAGAAGAACATGGTTAGCAACAGGTTTTACGAAGCAACTCGTGACGGCGCTGACCCAGCCTGCACCCTTCCACGTGGCTGCGGGAACATATTCTGGAAGTCCAGCTTCTGTGGGGGAGTCACAGACACGTCCCCTGAGCCGGCAAGGACGGCGGGTGCTCTTCCCTGTGGGGCAGGGGGTGGGTGGTGGGGACGAAGGGCTGTGGCGAGGTGGAGCACAGCCTGCAGCACGCTGCCTGCGTCAGCGAGAGGCCGCTGCCAGCCCCCCGGTCCCTGTGGCCCTCCCGCCCGCAAACAGCCACGGCTGGTCCTGAACACCCTGGAGTTTGGGAGCCTACACCGGCACGCTCTGGTACTTGGCGCCACGCCCCGTGTCCCTTTCGCCGCCTCGCTGTTGGGACCACTGACTCTGGCCTTCCACCAACACTCGTTCACCGAGCGCTTTCCATCCGGGAAGCTGAAAGCACTTTCCCACGGGCATGTCCCCTTCTCTGCCCACTGGTGAAGGTGCCAGGGAAGCGCGACCCTGAGCCAGAGGGGGGCCGTTTTCCTGCGAACCCGGGAAGCCAAGAGCGAATCTTCTCACAGGTCGTCATCGGCTACACACTTGAGTCACGGCTCCTGACAGGTGTCTCCACGGCTGCACTGTCCCCGCATATGTTGGGGACCCCTCTCCGTCCCTTCTTGCATACGTTTGGGGGTGGGGGACCCCTCTCCTTTCATGGAAAGCATTAGCAGTTCTGCATTTTCCCGCCAGAAAGAAACAAAATGGATGAAATGCTCGCCCTGCACCCCGCCTGCCCCCCGCCCCGGCCCGTGAGCCCCACTCCACTGGAGCACACGGACGACGATGTCCACGGCCGCAGGACCCTCCGGAGCTGCACGCGCTGTCCCTTTCCGTTTCCCACCCCGACAGCGGCTGGCCCCCCGCCATCTCCACCCTGCTTCCTGGCTCCCCTGCTCCGTCAGCCCCTCCCTGCCCGCACTGCTTAGGGTCTGAGGAGGCTCCTGTTGTGTCTGCACTGTACGTACAAGGCCTGGACACTGTCATCGGCAGCCATGCCGGGGTGGCAGGCAGTTCCAGGCCATCGAGGAGCCCCGCTTCCCCAATCCCCCCCGCTCCCCCGTGCAGGGCTGGCCGAGCCCTCCCAAGGTCACCATCACTGGAGGAGCCGCGAGTCAGCACGCAGCCCGCTAGGCCAGGCGGTCCACCCCAGGGGCTCCTCCCCAGGGGGCTGCGACGAGCACCTGCTCCGAGGAGAGAGGCCTTCGTCGTGGGAGGCTAGCCATGGTGGCCTCAGGGCCACACACGTGGTGGCAAGACGTGGGACAGGGCGACCATCACATGGGTCAGCGCCCCCACACGCCCTCTGCTCACAGGGCGGCCCCAGGACAGAGGTCACGGAACAGTGTGCCTCCCTGAGGGAGGGACACTCAGGTAAGCGATCGGACTTCCCTTTTAAGGGCCTCCTTGTTTCCAGTAGCCTTCTTTGAAGTCCAAGAGCACGGAATGTTCTCCACATAACATCTTCGAGCGAATAATACCTTCTGTCTTTGCTTCTCTCCTCAGGGATCCAGTATCGCTGGACCTTTCATTCAGCGCAGACCAGGGCTTCCTCTGGGGAAGTCCCATTGCGGCACGCTTATAACGGCTCTTCAATTTCTCTTATAAATACGGCATTTAACACTTAGAAATATTTAATAACATATGCACATTTGGAGATTTTATTCTTATTCCTTGATTTACAGAAGCATTTTCATATTTTATGAGAGCGTTTTCGTATCACCTGGGTGCTCCATGACCCTCAGTGCCCTCACGGAGACGCGAGCCCCACGCGGACAAGCACAGCCTTCTGCACAGCAGTGTCCCTGCTCTAAAGCCAGATGACGCCCTCCCCCCCAGGGCTGTCACTCATGGCACCATGCACACAGCGCCTGCCGCGCGCCAGCGCTCCACCTCGGCCTCAGCTCTCCCGGCTGAACTCATGTCCAGCTGGAAGGGGAGCCCTGAGCGCTAAGCGCCAGGAAGGTGCCAGCCAAGGACAGCACGTGTGCTTCATGCGTGGGGCTGACGAGTGGCAGGGCGGGGCAGGGGGGGAGGGCGGGGGGGGAGGAGGGGGAATAGGAGCAGCGGCAGAAGGATGTGCACACGGGCACTCGGGTCCCCAGGCCGCCTGGCGTGGCGTGAGGCAGAGCGCCCCCACGGCTGCTTGCACGATGAGCATTTCCGAACTGACGAGGAGGGCTGGGCTGAAGAGCGTGGCCCGCTCACACTGCACACCTCATTTGACAGGAAGCCAGTGATGGTGGGGAATATTCACTTAGTAAGACACAGAATGAAGCCACTTGCCCAGGGCCATGGAGCTGGCCGGTGGCTGCGCCCAGACTCTAACCAGATGGTAAAATCTGGGCCAGCTCCTCACTGCAGGCAGAAACGGGAAGGCTCCCCTGACTGCCCCATGTCATCACCCACAGGGAAGAGCACGTGGGCCAGAACCAAAGGTGTGTGGACAGCAGTGAGCTGTGGACAGCGGTGAGCTGTGCACAGGGACGCTGGGAGGGGGGCAGAAGGTAAGCCGTGTGGAAGAGTAAGGTGCCAGGAGACAGGAGTCTTGGTAAATGACAGGATAGCTTTTAAGATTTTAACACTTAATATTTAAAATTAAATTTACCCTCAATATTCATCCTAAAAGTAAAATGTTTAAACATGATAAATAAAATACACCCTAGGATCCATACATGCATTATTAGAACATTCTAGGTTTGCTTACTGAAGAAAAAAATCACTGTACTTCCCAGAAAACATAAGCAAATATGCATGTGATTCTGTCGATAATTTGTTTAATAACTTAGTTTTTTTAAAAAAATTTTTTAACCTTTTTATTTTTTATTGAGAGACAGACAGAGCATAAGCATGGGAAGAGCAGAGAGAAGGGGAGACAGAGAATCTGAAACAGGCTCCAGGCTCTGAGCTGTCAGCACAGAGCCCGACGCGGGGCTCGAGCCCACAAACTGTGAGATTATGACCTGAGCTGAAGTCGGATGCTTAACCGACTGAGCCTCCAGGAGCTCCTGATTTAGTTTTCAATAAATTGAACTCCACTGAAGAATAAAGGACTTTGGCTGCAGTGCCTCACAAGGTCATCCCGCAGTCATCACAATCAAGACTTTACTAGAACGAGAGCAGTCTTTTCCTGTAGTAAATGTGTCACACGCAGAGGCACCTGGTGCCCTAACACACAGTGTCCGGCCGAGCTCACCAGGAGGACACGCCCGGCCCTGGTGGGGTCCAGGACATGGCAGACACAGCGCCCAGCAGGGCCGCTCCGCTGCCCGGTCGTTGGGGAGATGCTCCTTGGGCCACGGACGCCTTCCTAATGTTGGAAGGGTTAACTATTTTACTTTATTTTATTTATTTAGATTTCTTTGAGAGTAGGGGTGAGGGGCAGAGAGAGGGAGAGAGAGAATCCCAAGCAGGCTCCACGTTGTCAGTACGGAGCCCTATGCAGGGCTCGATCCCACAAAATGTGAGATCACGACCTCAGCCAAAATCAGGAGTCTGACACTAAACTGAGCCACCCAGGCACCCCAGAAGGGTTAACTATTTTTTAAAACTGTACTTAGCTTAAAAAAAAGAAAAAAGAAAAAAGAAACACATCTTATCCTTTAAAATATCTTTTCAAAGCATTATTTCACTTCTGTTGCTTTGTAATAAGATTTCCTGCAACAGTTAACCTTTCCTAGCCATACTCACAAAGCCGGGTTTGAATCCACACGAGTGTTTTTTGGTTCTACTCAGACACACCTCTCATTATGTTTCAAGTAAGAGTAAAATGCACAGTTAGAAAGAGCTTCTCATAAAGTGGACATGAGCACAGACTGTGGCTTGACAGTACAACATATATTATACAAATAACAGCTAAAAATTCAAACTTTTTGTTACAATTTAACTTATGCATGCTGACTACATAAATAATAATTTTAGGAATATGACAAATACAATCAATTTAGAAATATAATCAAGCAGTCTTTAAAACTAAATTCTGATTTTCAATATGCTTATGAAATGGAAGTAGCTTAAATAAAACAAGTTTAACAATGCCATGCTATAAAGCTAAATACTATAACATGTTAATATAGATTCTTTTATTTTAAAAATGAACCATCAACAAAAAAATTAAAACTGTAAAATAAAGAAAAACCCCACAATTAACTACCAAATTATGGGCAAATTGTATCCAACAGAGAAAACTTAAAGGTCATGAACAACTCTGATTAAGCAAGAAAAGGCACTTTTGGAAGTTGTTCACCTTGAGCGCTTACACAGGTGCAGAGAGCTCACATCTGGAACCACCCCCATTTCTGAAACTCTGGTTTTATGGTACATATTAAGCTAAAAGCAACAAGCTCTTCAGAAATGCAGCACTTTCTTACTGAAAGGGAAAATCAAGTCATTAAAGCAGCCGCTCCTTAATCTAGCCTACCTTATTTTTTGGATTGGATGTGTTCATTACACTTCGAGTCTCTTTTCCCGTATAAATGACAACACCTATTACAGTACCTGCAAAAACATGAGAGTGGTCCTTACCGAGAGGCCTCAGAGTGAGCACAGAGAACACTTTCTAACCAACAGTCTTGATGGAAAATATGATTCACTATTTGATTTTACATAAATGTACCCAGCAGCACATTTTAACTTGTCTACTTCAAGAAAGTCTAATCTCAACTTTCAAAATAAACTCAACTCAATATACAACTCAAATGACTCCTTAGGCAGTACCCGCACACAGTAGAAAAGGCACTACTATGCTCTTCCCTGTCAAGGGAAAGGGTGACCCCCCCATCCGTTCCCGTCTGCTGGTGCTGAATGCACATGGCGAGGCGGCACCCCGGGACCCGCGCCCCGGACGACACCGACTGGGCCACCTTCCCCCCAGAGCCTCTGCTGACGCTCCAGCACAGACACGATTACGGCAGTGAGACAATCACATATGGAACACGTGATTTTGAACATAGATGTTTTTTATTCACGTCTCCTGAAAATGTGGTTTTCTAAGTGTACATGTCAAGAAGAAACTATCACTTTGTGGCCTGTCAGGCAGAAGAATAAAGAAACACTTCTAGACCGGCCCCTGAAGGGTCAGAGGCACTTGCCTCCCTAACATTAAATGAAAACCCATTCCGGGCTGTTTCCAAACCGCAGCTGTGTGTAATCTACGTTCCTGGTTTTCGTAGGTTTTGGTGTGAGACGTGATTACACTGAGGGACCTTCGGAGCAGGAGTCCCTGCGATGATGAGGACACAGACATCTGAGGTCACACGACTGTAGCGTGCGACACGACTGTAGCCTGTGACATGCAGCGAGTCATTAGTCCTGTGGAGCGAGTGTGATCTTCGCTCCTGGGCGCACACGACCAGAGAGCTGCAAACCGCAAGGATGCATGACAAAGGGTCTCCCCCGCGCAGCACCCAGAAGGATGCAGATGGCAGAGGGCTGCTCAGCAGACGTATCTGCAGAGGTTACACATTTTTATTTGAAAATAAGCATTTCCTCCCAACCACACTTTTCACTGTGCCATGCGGAGGGCTGTGCAGCTGGAATTTACCGTGTGGGCCCCCCCGCCCCCCACCCCATCCCGAACGGAAAGCGGCCCAAACTGCACCCAGGCTACCTTTCTGCGCTCTGGTCCAGACACTCTTCCACAGGCAGCCCTGTACTTAGTGTGCAGGAAAGTATTAAACACATGATGCTACAATACTGTACGGGACTTTCAAAACAAACACATCAAACATTCTTTAGTCAGTTAACCAAACGTTAAATCTGACCAGATCAGTATTTTCTCCCTTTTTTACCAATCAAATTTAACTTAACCAAAATGTAAAAGTGTCTGATGGGGCGTCTGGGTGGCTCAGTCAGTTGAGCATCGGACTTCAGCTCAGGTCATGATCTCACAGTTGCTGGATTCGAGCCTCACATCGGGCTCAGTGCTGACAGCTCAGGGACTGGAGCCTTCTTTGGATTCTGTGTCTGCTTCTCTCTCTGTCCCTCCCCTAATCATGCTCTTTCTCTCGAAGATAAACATTAAAAAGAAATTTTAAATAAAATGAAAAATAAAAGTGTCTAACATTAAATAAGCTCATTAAGGGGCGCCCGGGTGGCTTAGTCGGTTGAGCGTCCGACTTTTGCTCAGGTCATGATCTTGTGGTTCGTGGGTTCGAGCCCCGCATTGGGCTCTGTGCTGACTGCCAGCTCGGAGCCTGGAGCCTGTTTCAGAGTCTGTGACTCTCTCTCTCTCTCTCTCTGACCCTCCCCTGCTCACGCTGTCTCTCTCTCTCTCTCTCTGCTAGAAATAAATAAAACATTAAAAAAAATTTTAAATAAGCTCATTAATGTTAAAAAGTATCAAAAAAAAGAAAAAAAAACCCAAAAAACATAACAAGAGAAACTACAAAATTATTTTGAATATTAGCAGAACAAGTCTCAGAGAAGACATAAAATTAATCAAGCCAGAAAACCTGTCCTAAAATCCAAATTATTAGCAACGTTGACTCTGGTCGACAGCTGGTATTACAGTTAAAAGCATCGAAGTGAAATATGAGAAATAACAGGACGAACGAGAACGGCCTGCTCAGACGCACACAGACACCGTGCACCAGCGTCTGCGGGCCACACCCACACGTGACGGTGCCTCCCAGAGCACCACCTGTCATCACTGCAGAATCTACAAGTCTGCTGAAGGCTGTCCTGTGTGTTACCCCATCTCACGCTCAATAGGAATGAGTCCTCCATCTACTCAGAGGGCATTTTATTCTGAGTCCATCATGTCTTCTGACTGGTAACGTTACTCAAGGCAGCACAAAGTACTTGGAAGGCTCTCCATGCTCGCTGACAAATGGCGAGCTACGGACTAGTGTAGGCTGAGAGATGGCCTCTGCCCTGCGCACACGGCCACAGTGTCCTTGTGGATAAGGGGTACCATGAGACCCGAGAGGAGGCACGGCAGAGCACATCCATCAGAAAGTCTGACAGGGGCGCCTGGGTGGCTTAGTCGGTTAAGCGTCCGACTTTCGCTCAGGTCATGATCTCGCGGTTCGTGGGTTCGAGCCCCGTGTCGGGCTCTGTGCTGACTGCCAGCTCAGAGCCTGGAGCCTGTTTCAGAGTCTGTATCTCCCTCTCTCTCTGACCCTCCCCTGCTCAGGCTGTCTCTCTCTCTCCTAGAAATAAATAAAAATATTAAAAAAAAAAAATCAAAAAAAACCAAAGTCTGACAAAGATCCCATGTCATAGAGACAGACAGACAGATCCAGAGAGCCATCAGGCATGGCAGAGGGAGCTGCCACATCAGTGTGGAAACTGCCTGCTGGGCCCGTTCCCCACAGACCCCGAGGTCCTGCGTGCCCAGGACGGTGGGGACGGCACAGACGCCGGCCAGCAGCTATGGGTGTGGGTGACCCAGGTACCAGAGCCCACCCTGACGCACATGGAGAGACCAATGTCCGCGTTCTCATCAGGCAGGAGGCAACCTGAATCCAGCTGACACATAACGTTTAAAAAATAAGTAAGATTAAAAAAAAATTCCAGTCTTTCCTTCTCAACTTGCAATCTAGTATACAAAGACACAAGCCCCTAACTGCTCACATTATTAAGGTTTTTAAATAGGCTAGGTATGTGTTAAAATATTTCAAATTAATGAAAACAGTTTGCATTTTTAAATGTCCAAACACAAATTAAAATTAGATGTGTCTCATTTAAATTATTTTGAATGGACGGTTTTAGAGCGATTAAGTACTCTCTTGGAAAATAAAACAACCCTGGGCAGACTGAACTCCACACCACAGGGTAAGGAACACTTATCAGGACGGCCAGTGTGCGCGAGCTGGGGCCGCAGACGCGGGCGCACAGGACGGAGGCCAGGAAGGCGCGCACGGGAGCTAGCCCGCCGCTCGGGTGTCTCTCCGTCTGTGAGGATGACGGCCTCACACCAACAGCACTGAGGGTGAGTAGCCACAGCCCCATACAAGGGACAAACACGGTCCCGTACACGGGGACAAAGGGTCAAGTAAAATGAATGGTTTACAAAGAGCGCCTTCGATATGATGGAAACAGAATAGAACTCTAGACGGAGAAAACGTAAAGTGTGTGACCAACATTAGAAGACGTGTGGTATATGTTGTAAATACTCGCCTGGAACTATTAAGTGCTGGGGGCTGAGGGGGACAGTTGTCGAGGACAGCCACCTGGATTCAAATCCTTGCCCTGTGACAGCCAGGCTGCGTGGCCACACTCACATGGGCCTGTCTGAGCCACGGTCCTGGGCCCTCAAGGTGAGGCGAACAATGCGAGGCGGGGGGTCTCAGGGTCAGTGAAGTAAACCGCAAACAGCCACATGGAGGAAGCAAGAGCACAGGACCCGGACATTTCTCGTGGGGACAGTGCCCTCTCCACAGTGACTCATGGGTACCATGAGTCTCCCCTTCCCGAGGACTACACGGCCCGAGACCCGGCCTGTGCCCCTGAGTTTTCTCCTTCGTGTGCTATCCTTACTTCTTCTTTCTCTTTATCTTGAGAAAAATTTAAAAAACCCAACAGTATGAAAATCACGAAATACCTCACAGAGTTTCTATTAAAACTGTCCTATGTGCCATCAACCGTTTTATGAAACACATAAAACAGTATACAACTAAGTCCCCTTTGATCCTCTAGTCCCTAACGGGAGCCCCTGTATCCACACAGGCCCTCGCACACACAGGTGCACAGAACCGCCCTGTGTGTGTCTGGGCCGCTCTTCTCCGTGTGCCAGGCACGCGGGCCCGGGCATTACCCTCTTCGGCGCACGGCGCGCCAGCCCCTCAAGCAGCCGCTGGTGACCAGACCTCCCACACCTTTCTGACTCCTCACCTGGGGCACCTGTCTGTTCCTCAACCGAGCGTACGGAGAAGTCCCCCCTTAGCTCTAACCAGGGAAGGAGCAAGGAGTCTATGGTTTCGGGGACCCCTCGACTTTCCTGTGCTCCTTCGCACAACTGGACGTAGCTGCCTCGCTTCACCAGAGTCCTCCTGGGCCGTGAGCTCCCGGGTCAAGGACCCCACGCTGCATCCACAGCACCTGCTCTGAGAGTGGCTCTTACAAAACCACCCAAAGAGAGACTGTGCTCCCAGACAGGAGGGCTGCCGGCTTCGGGCCCCGGGGAGGACCCACAGCCCTACTCTCCTCAGTGCATCCTGCCTCCTCCCGCCCGGCATCCTTCACCTTTCCTGCTACTCACATTCCATCCTGTTTCCCATCAGCAAGTCAACTACTTTTCTGAAAAGCTGATTATCATTCAGATTTCAGTATCTCCCAGAAAAATTTAGTTTCCAAAATGTAAATTTAGGTGACCTCCCCATTCAGCCACAAGAAATACTCCAATATCCTCCAATTTCACTCAGAAAGACATTAAGGACCTCTACCCTGGTCACCCTGGTCCCCAAAGGCCCAACATGAACTACATCCCAAGCCCCCCCTTCCCCTGCCTCCTCTGACACGTTCCTCCCAGACAGACAGCCCACCACCGTGCCTCCTGTGAGTGTACGGACCACTGCGGAGCAGCGGAAGACCCCTTGGAGGCCACCACCCACGCCCGAGCTCACGGTCAGGGACGCCGACGGGCCAGCTGCAGAGTCTGCACGGCCAGCAGAGCACCCCTGCCCGCGGCACGTAGGGCGCACTCCCCTGGAGTGGGTGTGCAGGCACGCAGGCCACGGCCAGGGCTGGCCCCAGGCCCACCGCCTACGGGGCACGTGTGGCAAGGTCCCCGGGTGGGACAGGCACATCCAGAGGCGCTGCACCGCATCTCCCGCGCAAGAGCCCACAGTGAACTCAGAGCTGACCTCTCACCTGACGCAACAACGGTGCCCGCCCACAGCGTATTCTCGATGCTGAGACTTTCGTGAATGGGCGGCTCACTGTCTTCCTGTTCAGAGAGAAAAGGACGAAAACGACAAGTTAGCGAATTGTTACATTAGGTGTCTACAGTGATCAACACAAGGGTGCAAGCTGGCTCCCTTAGGGAGCACTGGGACGGCACTGCAAAATATGGGTGAAAAACAAGGGAAGTTACATAAAGGATTCTAGGAAGGGCCCCGGGAAGGTTTAAAAGTGCCTGATTGGATTCTGGGAAGACAGCTAAGCAGGGGCCCCGGGAACCTCCCCCCCCAGACGACACAGCGGGGGCAGAACCCGTGTGACGGAGCTGCCTCGGAGCCGTGGGCCAGGCCGAAGGCCTGCAGCGGGTCCGGGGGAAGGAGCCAGTTTTGGTCGATTCCAGCTCTCAGCACGGAGGCACCTACCCGTCCCGCACCCCAGCCACGTGGCAGGCAGCCTGCAGAAGCCGGGGGGACGCAAAGGACCCTGTCCCTCCAGACGGCAGGACGCGGTGCTCTGAGCACACAGGTGCAGACACAGAGCTGGCGGCCGCTGCCGTCGCCCCTCCAGCTCCAGCTCCAGCGACTTGGAGGGAGGGACGGGCTAGTGCCTCTCATCCCCCTTCTGTTTTTCACTTTCCCCCTTTTGGGAGCCACACATTAAAGACCAGGACACTGAAAAACGGCTGCCTACACGGGAAATCGGGAAGTGACCGGGCGCACTCAAGGGAAGGCTCAGAGAAGACATTACGTCCACACCTGAGGCTGACACCCCGCAAAGAGCCTGTCTACAGTATTTAAAATAAACCCATAAATATAATGACTAAAAACCCAGCAAACCCTGAGGGAGACATTTTGACTTCTAGCATTAGCACATTATTATAGTAAAAAAAAAAAAAAGTTTCAACAACAGCAAGGGATTAAAAAATGTAAATAAAACAATCCAGAAAATGACAGTTCATTAAAAGGAAAAATTATAAATCAAGAGAAATTATCCCTGAAAAACACCTGATGTCAGATACACTACACAAAGACTTTAAAAGTAAAGTATTAAATATGTTCAAACAAAGAAGATGTGGAGAAAGTCAAGAAAACAATGTGTGAACAAAACATAAATATCGATACAGGAAATCTAAACAGAAACCAAAAGGGGCGCCTCGGTGGCTCAGTCAGTTGAGCATCAGACTTGATTTTGCCTCAGGTCACGTTCTCAGGTTTCAGTGTATCCAGCCCCCCGTTGGGCTCTGTGCTGACAGTGTGAAGCCTGCTAGGGATTCTCTCCCCCTCCCTGCCTGCCCCTCCCCTATGTGCTCTTTCTCTCAAAATAAATAGAAACATTAAAAAATAAAACCTATTGGGGCACCTGGGTGGCTCAGTTGGTTAAGTGTCCAACTTTGGCTCAGGTCATGATCTCGTGGTTCAGATCCCTGCGTTGGGCTCTGTGCTGACGGCTCAGAGCCTGGAGCTCCTTCTGAGTCTGTGTCTCCCTCTCGCTCTGCCCCTCCCCTGCTCATGCTCTATCTTTCTGTCTCTCAAAAATAAGACATTAAGAAAACTTTAAAAAAATAAACAGAAACCAAAAGAATTTAAAGAACTGAAAAGTACAGTGACTCAAAGGAAAATTTCCCTGAAGATTCGCGGCAGGTCTGATGAGGCCGGGGAACCAGCAAACCTGAAAACAGAACGATGGGAATGACCAAGTGTGAGGTACAGAATGAAACAAAAAAATGAGGAAAATGAAAACAGCCTGCGGGCGTGGGGGCACCAGGGAACAGGCAGCGTACGTACTGTGGGGGTCCTGAAGGGGAAGGCAGAGGAAGAGGTGGAGAGAACATGTGACGAAACAAGGGAGGAAACCCCCCCCCAAATCTGATGAAAGAGGTGAATGTAAACACTGAGGAAGCCCAACCGAATCCAAGCAAGACGGACTCAAGGACACCCACACAGGGACACATTATAGTAACACTTTTACAAGCCAGAGAGAATCTCAAAAGCGGGGGGTGGGAGGGACGCAAACCATCACATACCAGGGATCCCCAAATTCTGGAGGCCAGAAGGCAGTGTGCTGATATATTCAACGTGCTCACACACACACACACACACACACACACACACACACACACGTCAGCCAAGAACCCTACGTCCTGCAAAACTGTCCTTCAGAACTGAGGGCAACATCGAGACATTTGCAGACAAACAAGCTGAGAGCCTGTGAGCGCTGGACGCTCCTGCAAGACGTGCTCCGGGCGGCCCTGCAGGTGGAGGAATGGGACGCAGTGAGTGGAGCAGGAAGTGAACGTCTGGGGACAGGTAAACATCTCCATAAGGATAAACAGGCAATTATAAAGGCAAATGTTACTGTAACAATGGCTTGTAGCTGCACGTTTTGTGACTGGAGAAACTAATACATAAAAGCTAGTATTGTTGCCCCTTTGGTCTGTAATTCCAAACCTTGTTTTCTACATTATTTAAGAGGCTAGCGTTAGCGCGTATGTTCTAGGCACAGAACACACAGAAAGAGGTAATGGTGTGGCATCAGAAACACAAGGAGGGGGGGCCGTAAAGGGGCAGCGCCTTGGTATGTCACTGAACATAAGTTGGTACAAATTCAAATTGGAGTATTGTATCTCTCAGGATGCTAAATGTAATCCCCATGGTAACCACAAAGAAAACAGCTATAGAATATACACAAAAGGAAATGAGAAATTTAAACATTTCACTGCCAAACCAACTAAATACAATAGAAGACAGTAATGTAGGAAATAAGGGCAGAAAACCCACAAGGCACGTAGAAAAAACTGAACAATGACAGAAGTCCCTTCATTTCAGCAATTACTTCAAGTATCGATGGACTAAACTCCATAATCAAAAGACAGAGATTGGCATGATGGATAAAAACACATGACCCAACTATATGCGGTCTACATGCGGAGACTCACTTTACATCCAAAGGCACTAAGAGGCTGCAAGTGAAAGTAGGAGAAAAGATATTCTATGCAGACAGTAAGCAAAGTAAACAGAAGTGAGCAGAAGCAGCCACAGGAATATCAGACAAAACAAATATTAAATCAAAAAAGGTTATGAGACATTATATGTTAATTGAATGTTCAATAAGGCAGGAAAATTATACACAACGGTGCATCTAACAAAAACTATAAAAATATATGAAGCAAAAACTGACAGAATTTAAGAGTATTAAAACAACGCTCAACAGTAATAGAGACCCTAGAATTCCACTTACAATGACGGCTAGAGCCACCAGACAGAGGTGAGTGAATAGAAAACTCAGCACAATAAACCAACGAGATCTCACAGACATAAAGGACACTCCACCTCAAACAGCAAACACCTTCTTCTCAAGTGAACGGACATTTCCCAGGACAGACCTTACGTTACAAATGAAGTCTCAACAGATCATCATACAAAGTATCTAGTCCAACCATGATAAGATAAAGTTAGAAATCAGTAACAGAAAATTCACAAAATTGTGGAAATTAAACACTTTTAAACAACGAATGCATTAAGAAGAAATCACAAAGGAAATTAAGAGATGCTTAGACACAAATGATACTGAAGCACAACTTACAAAAGCTTATGAAGTACAACGTAAGTGGTGCTAAGGGGGAAATCGACAGCTATAAACGCTTATATTAAAAAAGAGGAAAGATGTCAAATTGATGACCTAACTTTATAAATAAATAATAGAAAAACAATTTAAAAATGAATGAAAGCAGAAATTGGTTCTTCCAAAATATCAACAAAATTGGCAAACCCTTAACTAGATGCACTAAGAAAAAAAGACAAAGAATCAAATTACTGAAATCAGAAACCAAAGTGGGGACTATGCTACAATTCTACATTAATAAAAAGGATTATAAAAGAATACATTAGCACTTGTGTACCAAGAAATTTGATGAAATGTATGAATTTCTAGAAACACAAAACCTACCAAGACTAATCATGAAAAAGGAGAAAATGTGAAGAGACCTATATCTAGTTAAGAGACTAAATCAATAACAAAAAATCTGATATAGAAACACCCTGGATCCAAAGACTTCATAGGTGAAATCTACTAAACATATAAAGAAAAACTAATTTCCATCCTTCTCCAACTATTCCAAAACATTAACATGGGGGGACATCTCCTAACTCACTCTATAAGCCCGGTGCAACCTTGGTACCAAAGCCAAAGACATGACAAGAATTAATAAACTACACATCAGCATCCTTTTATGGTCCCTGATGGCAAAATCTTGTAATGCCAGCAAATACAATTTAGCAAAATATTAAAAGGATTATACACTATGACCAAGCAGAATGCAAGATTGGTTCAAAATATAAGCCTATCAATGTAATACCTTACATTGACAGGATAAAGGAAAAACATCCCCATGATCATCTCAACTGATGAAGAAACAGCAAATATTCAATACCCTTTTATGATTAAAAAAAAAATGAATTCAACAAACCAGGAAGAGAAGGGAGTTACCTCAACATAATAAAAGCCATATGAAGGGCACTTGTTGGGATGAGCACTGGGTGTTACATGAAGGTGCTGAATCACTGGGTTCTATCTACTCCTGAAACCAACACCACACTGTATGCTAACTAACTTGAATTTATATAAATTTTTTTAATTTTTTTTTTTTTTAATTTATTTCTAGGAGAGAGAGAGAGAGAGACAGCGTGAGCAGGGGAGGGTCAGAGAGAGAGGGAGTCACAGACTGAAACAGGCTCCAGGCTCTGAGCTGGCAGTCAGCACAGAGCCCGACGCGGGGCTCGAACCCACGAACCGCGAGATCATGACCTGAGCGAAAGTCGGACGCTTAACTGACTAAGGCACCCAGGCGCCCCATGACTTGAATTTATATACATTTTAAAAATAAAAACAAAAGCCACACATGAAAAGCCCAGTGAGACTATCATCCCAGGTGGTGAAAGCCTGAGACGTTCATCAGGGTGCCTGCCCACTTTCACTACATCTCACAACTTAGTGTTCAGAGTTCCAGCTAGAGCAATTATGCAAGAAAAAGAAATAAAAGCCACTATTGGGTAAGAATATGTAAAATTACTTGTTTGCATTTAATATGATCTTATAAATAGAAAACACTAAAAATTCCACAAGAAAGCTGTTTGACTGAACAAATTCAGCAAAGTAGCAGGATACACAGACAACACACACAAATCACTTGTGTTTATATGAACCAACAGTGAACAGTCTGTAAGGGAAATTAGGAAAGCAGTTCCTCCTAGCATCAAAAATAATAACGTATTTAGAAATTAACTTGAAAGACTGATAAAAGAAAAATTACAAAATAGTCAAAACGATGTAAAGAAGACATAAATAAATGGAAATACATCCCATGTTCATGGACTGGAACACTTAATATTGTTAAAATGTCAACACTACCCAAAGTGATCTATAGATTCAACGCAATCCGTTACTAAAATCCCAATGACATTTTTTGCAGAAACAGAAAAAACCCTCCTAAAATTCAATATGGAATCCCGAGGGACCCCAACATGCAAAAACAGACTTGGAGAGGAAAAAAAAAGAACAAAACTGGAGGTATCAAAATTCCTGACTTTAAAACTCACTACAAAGCCACAGTGATCAGAATGCTATGGTGCTGCCATAAAGACAGACATACAGACCAACGCGATAAAGTGAAGAGCCTCGGAATGAATGCCTGGTCGGAGACATAAACAGACTTTGGTGAGGGTACCAAGACCTTACACTGGGGAAGAGTCTTTCAACAAACGACGCTGGGAAAACTGAATGTCCACTCACCAAACAGTAGAATTGCGCTTCCCTAATACCACATATAAAAATAACAAAATGAGGGGCGCCTGGGTGGCTTAGTCGGTTAAGCGTCCGACTTTCGCTCAGGTCATGACCTCGCGGTTCGTGGGTTCGAGCCCCGCGTCGGGCTCTGTGCTGACTGCCGGCTGAGAGCCTGGAGCCTGTTTCAGTCTGTGACTCCCTCTCTCTCTGACCCTCCCCTGCTCACGCTGTCTCTCTCTCTCTCTTAGAAATAAATAAAACATTAAAAAAAAATAATAATAACAAAATGAATCAAAGACCTAAATGTAAGACTTACAACAACAACAAAAAGTCTTAGAAGAAAACACAGGACAAAAGCTTTATGACACTAGATTTGATTTTGTGGATGTGACGCCAAAAGCAAAGGCAACAAGAACAAAGTGCTGGGCACCCTCGGGGGGGCTCAGTCGGCTGAGCGTCCGACTTCCGCTCAGGTCGTGATCTCAGCGTTCGAGGGACGGAGCCTGCGTGGGGTGCCGGCTCCCTCTGCCCCTCCCCCACTCGTGTGCGCATGCACATGCGCTCGCACGCGCGCGCGCTCTCAACAAAAAATAAGAATGCGTAAGACGGTGAATTTCATGTGTATCTTAAGAAAATGAAAAAAATTACAAAAAATAATGGAATATTTGAAAATGAAATTACATCCCCATTAGTCAAGGAAGTGAATAAATCCCACAGGAAGTGGATGCGGCGCTCTTCCTGCACCTTCCGGAGCCCCTCACCCGAGGGCGCCGCGAGTCCGCGGGGACCCTGAACGCCCCTGCCTCAGCTGCGCGCCTCTGCACCCCCTTCGGCTGGCCCGCCTGCCGCCGCCGCCGCCCTCAGGTGACGGGGCACGTGAGCAGGGCCGCCCCCGTGTCACGCCCGAGGGCGCTGAAAACACACACCTAGTATTAGGCACTGTAAACTGCTACACAATTTCGTTTTGGAAACTTAGGCTGGTTCTCCCCTTACTTTTCCACAACTACTTAATCATGTGACTGCATCTGTGTCTTTCTATCACGATTCTGGGTGAAGAGCACAGTGTCTGCAGTTTTCTGTCAATTCTGTAATAACAGCGATGGACTGTAAACTTTTTCTAATATCAAGAAATTACTATAAAAGACAGCTCCTCACCCACCTCATACAGTACAGAATAAAGACTGGAAAGATGGAAAGGAAAGTATCTCCAAGGAACTTTCTCTTTGGGCTTCCTCCTCTTTAACGTTATAATTTGCAAAGACGAAATTTGCTTTGGGGAGAGAGAAAGCAAAATGATGCCATTTGAGGCTGTTTTCTCAACATTTAACAGACAATAGAAATTTGCTTTTAAGAAGGGGAGTATTTTGTTTGGAAAAGACCTGAACAATGACGTGTGCTATGGTTAACAGAAGAAATTACAACAGAAAATGTATTTATAAAGAAGATTAAAAGATGTTAAAGACCCACAAACATTGCTAATATTTCAAAACTGGCTAGTTTTAAACTCTAAACTTCAGAGAGAACTGCTTGGTCCTGAACAATAAGCAAATCAATTACACCACTAACAACAGGAGGAGGATTTCTAGAACTCAGAATGCCACACAGTGGGCAGCTGAGGTTACGCTGCCGTCATAAGGGAGGAGTGGACATTTTTCACAATGTCCACAACTAGACTCCGCGTAGACAACAAATACATGACGCACGTACTGCCACAGGACACGGGAATCATGGGAATTAATTTGCTCTGATTCTTATTTAATTACTCAGGCTGATACAAAATATGTAATTTTTTCCTTTGTATATCATTCTCTAAAAAAGGAATAGAAGCAGGTACAACGTCTTTAAATGCTGACTTCATACTTCAAAAATTAAACTGATGGATTCCAGTTCCTAGTCACGAAACCAGTTACTTAACATGGCATTTTCTGTCCTCCTTTTTGAAAGGTGCACACAAAAATAAAGATTTTTTCTCCTTAAATAATCCAGAACATGACGACACATTTAAAAGGAGTGAAACAAAATCTTGTCAGAAACACCCAAAGGAGGCAGCAAAAGGCGGGGGGTTAGAACGTGCAGGAATCCACAGAGTGGACGGGACGTGGGTGCACTGAAGCCTCGAAGAAGTCAAACCCCTGAGCGACCTCGCGGTGCGGCGCTCGGCTCTGGGCCAGACCGTGCCATCCTGGGCACCTCTCCTCACCACAGGAAACCGCAGTTTGCAGCATTTTCCTTCTCACAAGTGTGCAGCCCTAGCACCCAGCCTGTCCGGTCCGGGGTGGGGGTGGGGGTGGGGACGTGCATGCAGGTGACTGCCTGGGATCGTGTACAAACCCCAGTACCATCCTCTCTGAGCTGCGGACCCTGGGGATGGAGCCTGGCCACGCCTCCCGTCCTCCTTCCCCCCCGCCCTGCACACTCACTCACACACTCACACGCAGCCACATGCAGCCCGGCTGTGCTTGGCCACACTCCCGCACACTCGCACGGAACTCAGTGTGACCCCACACGTCATCCAGCAGACATGTCACAAGTGACATGTTCTGAGAACAGAAAAGGAGGGAAGCAAATAATGTTCCAAAATACTGACAGTGGCCACGGTGATAGCTCGTAATTTATGGTAATAACGGAGCCCTTTTGTAAGGCTTTTTCCTACTTATGCTAAATCGTCTTTAATCTAGAAGTGCTTTTTTCCATAAACATGTTTGCAAAAACACAAAAGGATCTTGGTTTTCCCCATACCCATTGTACACCTCTTCATCTTACTCATCTGTCTCCACAAACATCTTGAACATGTTTTTAAAAAAATTTTTTTAATGTTTATTTATTTTTGATAGAGAGAGAAGAGAGCGAGAGAGAGCGAGAGAGAGCGCACGTGCGCAGGGGAGGGGCAAAGAGCGAAGGAGACAAAGAATCGGAGGCAGGCTCCAGGCTCCAAGCTGTCAGCACAGAGCCTGATGCGGGGCTCAAACTCGTGAACCGTCAGATCATGACTGAGCCGAAGATGGATGCTTAACCAACTGAGCCACATGGGCACCCCTCGAACATGCTTTTTTTTACTGAGACACTTGTAGAAGTAAAGTTACAAAGCAATGACCGTCTCCCCACAGGCATCCCCGTGATTTGCTCATCGTCTGGCACGTACGAAATGTTTTCTCAACAAAGACACCTGCTCACCTGATGTGTGACCAAGAATGAAACGAGCTGACTGCACCAACAGAAATCTTTTTACAACAACTGCAGCAATTAAAAGTAAACTACAGCCATACACTAAAAGGCCTTAATTATTATAAGGCCTTTACAGTATCAGGACAAGCTGCTTTAAAATCCGAAGTTACTGAGTCCTCCAAATCCTTTCAAATAATCGGGGGGAGGGGACTTCAAGCTAGAGCAAAACACGTGGATACTGAAAAGGGTGTTCAATGAAACGCTTGCGTGCATGTGAGCAAATGCAGGTGGACACATGCGCGCACACACGCATACGCGCACCGAGTTACTAAAATCAACAGTGCATTAACTCTAACACAAAGTCAAAGCTGAAATCGCAAAACCCCTTCATCTTCAGGACTCCCAGCACCTTCAGGGTGAAGGACCCCTTCCAGAGTAAACACGCCAAACAGAAACACGGTCCTAAGGGCGCCCCACGCTGAGGCCGGACACGCAGACTTAGGGACTGGAAACATTCTCTACATTTTCCCTCTTCAGTTCAAAACTATTGTTTTAATTTATTCTTTAAGCACTTTTTCAAATTTAAGGTTTGCTGTCCTTAACTTATACACACAAAGAATATGTCTGTATCTAATGAAAGATTTAACTCACCCTGGTAAACGTGCCTTCAAAACTGTGAATATCCAGTTGTGGCTTCTGAGCATAAACGTAAGCGCTGATTGAAAACAGGTCCTGGAATATAGAATGTCTGAATTAATTACATTATAATTAAGCAAAGTTACTTGGAAAGTTTTCAATTACCAACTATTATTTTTCATATGTTGCTTATCAAAAGTGATGGCTGACTTTCCTATATTTTGTGTGTCAACACTATGAATTAGGATGGAAGATAACCAAGAGAAATCACTTTTAAGCTCAGCAGAGGTGTGGCAATTTCCCTTGCTTCTCCCTCGCTGCTGCCGCTGAAGGACAGGTGAGTGTCCGCAGCCTGGGAGACGCTGCCCACGCCCTGTCGCCCACGGCTGCCCCGGGTTCAGAGGCAAAGGGACCTTCCCATCCGTGCGCTTTGGAGTTCTGTCCAACTGTGTATCGTGTTTACAAGTTATATGGGTACCAAAGAATTTAGTGAGATTTAAGCAATCCTCACAATTTCACAGAAGTTTTATAAAACAATTTAGCAAATCCTAGATATTTACGATTTCCTTTTAGCAGCTACTGCATTTGCTACAGACAACTGCTTTCCTTAAAGCCATGAGCATCGTGCATTCCCCCATGTGCCTGCACCACAGCCCCATGATCCGTATTTATCAGGTTGTCCGGGAAGGCGTTAGCTATTCACACACTGTAGCAACTTTTCCAGAACTGGTGATGAAGTAGGAAAAGAATGGTTTAGAATATTCCATTCACTGGTGACATGGAAAAGTTTAAACAGTAAGTCTCCAGAGATGACATCTTGAGCACCTTATTTTAAGACAATTATAAAGATATGTCTGCTGATTTAGAAAATGTAGTTTTAAAACGCTATATAGTTTTATGAATGTTAAATTTTAATTTTCTAATGGTGCATGACAGTTTTTACCAGGAGATCACCAAGAATTTGTAATACTGAAGTTTCTTGTCTGTTTGGACTTTGACAAAACCCAAACCCACAAGGGACACAGACCGCGCTGTGCACCAGACAGCCCAGGGGAGAAGGATTACACTTTTTCTCTGTGTGGGGACTCCACACAGCCTACAATGCCCAGCGTGCAGCCCACATTATAAGACAAAACTCCAAAGCACACACCTTAAGTTTGTTATATCCTAAACATGCTAGTCTATTTTTCACCCTGATCCACATGGACACAATAATATTGTACGTGGGTGACCTATATCCACAAGCAGAGATTATTTATAGCGGAGCTCTTCGAGTAAACTAGTAAAGGTCTTTTAGTTCTTGATATTTTACTTGAGGTTTAAAAATGCAATCTTAGTCGGCTTTCAAGAAGCTGGACAAACACAACACTACACAAGCCATCTGTCCTTATAAGGGGCCTGAAATGTCAAGGATACGGCAAGGAGGAGGCCCAGAGCCCCGACCTGCTGCGCCCCCGCTCCCCGGCAGTGCCCTCACCTCTGCGTCCCCCCGGGTCTAGACTCCCAGCTGCCGCCTGAAGGCAGACTGGATTTGCTGTCTGCCCCGCGAGCGATCTACACCGTAACAGCAGACAATGCCTGCACCTCAGGATAACTGAAACCCTCAACTACAGAGGCAAACACGCGTCTAAGTTTAAGGTGAATTCTGTAATATAAATGCAGGTTTGATACAACAATCTGGTGACTACAGAAAAAAATTAACGGAAAGAGAGAAAACTAGCCACTCACACAGGAACTCGTCAGACTCAAGCTCACTGCACAGGAAGGTAAAAGCTGTGGACGGTGGGTCTCCGACCAGGGTGGGCTTCCCGACGAGGCTGGAGGGACCTGCCCTCCGCAGCTCCACCCCCCTCAAATTGTCCTCAGAGCAGGTGCCGGGTCTGTGGCACAGCTCTCACGGCCAGGCCCGGAGGTCGCATCATTTGAAGTCCGGACTCACAGACCCCAGATGCCCGCACCGGACTCTGAGGCGGACGAGACGCAGTCCGCCAGGGCTGTCCCGACCGTGGCACGGGCAGCGCCACGCCGAATGCAGGAACAGGATGGCAAACAACTTGGAGCTGCAGCGGGTGCGGGAATTCAGACCCCTGAGGGGATCTTGGCCACAGAAACCACCACATGGGTGTGGGCTGGGCTGGCTGGGTCACCTGAACTGCCCATGATCAAGGGACCAAGCTCTGATGGGACGATCAGGGGACCAAGCTCTGATGGGCCACGTGAAATCAAGATGCTACTGGCACCAACACATAACCCCTGCCCAGAGCTGCAAGTGGGAGGCCCACCCCATGCTGGTGACCCCTCCACGGCCCCATCTGTCTCGGAAACGTCTCACTGCTGTTAACTTGTGGTCGGCGTCCCAGATCAGCCGTGATCCGCAACAGTGGACCCTCACCTTCCCTCACCTTCCCACATGTGGCACATTAGAGCAAGGCAGTCAGACTACTAAGTGCCACTGTCCCAGAAAGGGAAGGTCTCTTCTGGGCCCTTTCCCAGCAAGTGATGGGGGTGTGTAAAGCCACTGTGAAAGGGTCTGAAGATTCAGATTTCCTCCTGACCAATTCCTAAACACGACATGTCTTAGGATTAAGCTGTATGAAAATAATATTTTCCTGTAAAAATGCTCTGTGCTTCCTGCATAAAACCCTTCTGGCTGAAAGTCTGGGCAGGTGACATGAGGCCCGCAGGAGCCCAACAGAGGCCCTGAAGCTGGGCAGCAACACAGCACAAGGTCACGGCTGCTGCTCACTGCTGTTGGCGGGTCCACCCCTCCCGCTGCCAGAGATGGGCATCTGAGATGCAAAGGGGCTGCGGGAGCTAGAGCCCCGGCTGCTGGGGTCTCCCACTCAGACGTGGCGCGAACGGGGGACTGCGTGGCTCTAGCGGCTCGGGGGCACAGCTCCCCCAGCTGCGCGAGGTCCGAGGACAACGGTACCGCTCGCGCTCCTCCTGCAAAGACACCGCGGCCGAGGGCTGCGCAGACACAGGACCAGAGCCGACCTGGGAAAGGCCTGCTGGCGAGCAAGGCCGGGTGGGGTCTGGAAACGTGTCTTCAGGCGGGTCCCCACCACGCCCAGATGAGAAACCATGCGCTCTAGCATCATGCTCCATGCTGGACACCTGCTTCTGCCCGGGAGCCTGGGACCTGGTACGTGCCTCCACGAGCCTCCACGAGCCTCCACCCGCTTGCCAGGTCGGGCCATTTCACACGTGTGCTCCCCACACGCCGCCGGGATGTGCAGCGTACCCCGCATGAGGCCACTGGGAGGGGCTCTGGGACCGGTGTGCTGCTTCCTCCAGATTCGCCCCATGTGCCCTTCACGTGGCTGCGTCCCGCGTCCTTTCGCTGGAATAAATCATGGTCATGAGGAGGGCTCTGTGCTGAGTCCGGGGCGTCCTCCTAGGGAATCACTAAAACTGGGGAGAGGGGTCTTGGGGCACCTGGATGGCTTAGTCGGTTAAGCATCTGACTCTTCATTTTAGCTCAGGTCATAATCTCACAGTTTGTGAGGTCGAAACTCATGTTGGGCTCTGTGCTGACAGTGTGGAGCCTGCTTGGGATTCTCTCTCTCCCTCCCCGCTACCCCTCCCCGCTCGTGCTCACTCACTCTAAAAATAAATAAAGAAACATTAAAACAACTGAGGGTGTTTGAAGTTCCCCCAACGCAGAGAGTTTACCATTTTTTTCCCAGAGTTTTCGTTTTCATTTTCTGTTATCTGTTTATTTTGGGTTTGCCTCAGAATAAATGTTGTAGCATGGCTGCCATATTTAGACAGGAAAACACAGACTAGCAGAGGCAAAAAGACACTGAGGCTGAGGACCAGGACAACCACTGCAGCTGAAGAGTGACGGTGAAGACAGGGACCCGAGACAGGAGAGTGACGCAGATGGGCCCTAACTTCTGGCATCCTCTCATCCTGACCCCATGCAACCTACATTCAGGGTGGGTTTCCAGCAGCCCCCCCAAGTTCAGGAAAGATAAGAGTTCAGCGTTCGACTTCAGCCAAGTTAACTACCAATTAAAACAAAACCAAACACAAAAAACAAAACTCTTCAGAAGAACATAAGTCAATCCAGAGTCTCTACAATGTATCATTAGAAATTTGAAGAAATAATCAAAATTTCTAGACGTATGAAGACACAAAAAACAAGATCCATATTAAGGAAAGAATTCAATCAATAAAGACTGATTCTGGGACGCCTGGGGGGCTCAGTCAGTTAAGCATCCGACTCTGCATTTTGGCTCAGGTCATGATCTCACAGTTCACGAGCAGCATGGAGCCTGCTTGGGATTCTCTTTCCCTCTCTACTCTGCCCCTCCCCCACTGGCATGCATGTACATGCTCTCTCTCTCTCAAAATAAACAAACTTAACAAAATAAAGGCTAATTCTGATATGACCAGATCAGAATTAAGAGATGAGAATTTGAAGCAATTATAACATTTCAAAGACTTAAAGAAAAATATTCTCCTAAAGAATAAACAATGTGAAACAAAAGCACACACACAAAAATACATTTAAGGGGAAAAAAACCAAATGGAAATTCTAGAATTAAAAAAAAAAAGACACATGAAATAAGTTTATTAGGTGGATTTAATAGCAGATGGAAGATGACAGAATCGAATCAGTGAATTCAGAGAGAGATCAAGAGATAAAGACTCTGAAGACACAAAGGAAAAACATCTAGAAAAGGACACGGATACAGCACCACTGGCAGAATGTCAAGAGGTCACCATGTTACGACTGGGCTCCTGGAAGGAGTGGACAAGGAATGGGGGAGGAAGGAAAACTGTGAAGAAGGACTAAAAATGTGCCAAATATATCAACAGTCCAGACAAATTAACTTAGAAAAACCCTTGACAGATAAATAAAATTAAAAACAAAACAAAACAAAAACCAATAAGTATAACAACAAAACAAAATCCCGTTGCTAAAAAAACAGAGAGAAAGGAAAACCTCACAAATACGTAGAGAAAAGTGACACATCACACACAGGAACGACTATCAAAGTAACACTGATCTCTCATTAGAAATAATGGAAGCGGAAGACAGTGGAACAAAATATTTAAAGTGCTCCAGGGAAAAAACTGGTCAACCC